TACCTTCTTCCCATTGGAGGAGAAGCCAACACTGCTGTCTGAAAATAAAACAGAATGAGATGAGAAGCAACCCTTTGGAGACATTACAATTCGATCTGGACTCAGTGAAGGCTGATCAACATGAAAGATGTAGCTGAATCTTTCGAAAGCAGAGCTGTGTCTTAGTCATCTTTTAAAAGATATCAGTGCAATGCTTTCTGAATTGTCCCTCTCAATCAACACAGAAACTTCAGAAGATTGAATTTAGAAACCTTGCTCTGGCTGAAGCCTGCAATTTGCACTCAGGTCAATCAGACAGAGGGTCAGTTTTTAGGATGCAGGTCATTGCAAAATCTTCAGCTGGCCTTCTTAATCTTATCAGCCTTTGCATCACTTGCCCAGCTGTTGTACATGAAAAGACAGGAGTGAACCATGCAGATGACATACATTTGGGTTTTTGCTGCTAGTTCCAGACAGCTCATTTGTCTGGATGGCTGGTTTTTGGAATGTATTACATGCCAACAGCATGGGTACAATTCCCAGACCAGCTGAGTACCCTGAAAACTGCTCCTTTGAACCTTTCCCCTCTCCTGATGCGTGGTGACTGTCAAATTAAAATACCATCCAGTCCCCGCTCTCTCTCTCTCTCTCTCTCTCTCTCTTTCTAATAAGAGAGCAGGATGATGGTCTGGTAGAATATGACCATTTGCTGTTCGTTCCCTTCAGACAAAGATTAGATTGTGTTCAGAGAGACAGATTTCATTGTACATAAGGCCAAGTTCTGTTCAAATGCCCCTTGTGGTTTTTCACAGGTATCCGTGTGATAATTGCAAGCTCATCTTCCTGAGCAAGAATATGATATGCAGTGCTTTTATATTCTCTCTCATCTCAAATCAGGGGGTAGTAACATTTGGCATATCTACCTTGATTATGTAAAGAAAACAGGACAGTTTTTCTCTCTCTCCACTGATGATGCCAGACCTGCTGAGTTTCTCCAGAAATGTCTGAATTTATTTCAGATCTCCAGCATCTGCAGTTCTTGGTTATATGTCAAAATTATCTATGCCTGCCTTAATTACATATAAAATGCATGTCCCACTGCCCTTTTCACACACAAAATGTATATACTTATGCAAAAAAAAATTTGGGAAGAAACCACCATCATAACCCAACCACAAACACATACAACTATATTTTTTTCATTCATTCACAGAATGAAGGCATCCCTAGCCAAGCAGCATTTATTGCCCAGCCCGAACTGCCTGGAGGGATGTTCAGAGTCAACCACAGAGCTGTGGGTCTGGAGTCACCTGTAGGCCAGACCAGGTAAGGATGGCAGTTTCAGGGCGTGGAATGCATTGCTGGAGAGGGTAGTGGAGTCGGCCTCATTAGGGGCATTTAAGCGGCTATTAGATAGGCATATGAATGATAGTATAAGGTAGCGGTGGAGGTTAGATAGACCTTAGGTTTAGGGTAAAAATTCGGCACAACATCGTGAGCCGAAGGTCCTGCACTGTGCTGTACTGTTCTACGTTCTATGTTCTACGTTCTACGTTCCACGTTCCACGTTCCACATTCTGTGTTCCTTCCCTAAAGGACATCAGTGAACCAGTTGGGTTTTTCACAACAATCGACAATGGTTTCATGGTCATTGGACTCTTAATTCCAGATATTTATTGAATTCAAATCCTGTGGCAGGATTCAAAACCAGAACATTACCTGGGTCTCTGGATTTACAGTCCAGTGATAATACCATTAGGCCATTCCCTTTCTGATTGCTCTGTGTGTTTGCTCTGGGTCACTGACGACATATAAATCATCTCCAAATCCTTTACCCTATCTGCAGAAGAACAAAGGGACAGAGCAGGGGATCTGGGTCTTGTTTCTGTTTGGCTGGTTTACTGTCCATTCCCTCATATTTGTTGGAGATTTCTTTTGGCAGACCCTTTGTTCCCTCACACTCCTGTCACTGCAAGCATTGTGGTATTTCTCTGTTCAGAACTGGCCACATACACAGGCATTTCCATAGCAGCTGGAATCATGCTACTGTCGGAACTGAAATAATTCCCCCCTCTCCCCTCAATTGTAGCATTGAAGAAATGAGATCTTTACCAGCATCTGCTCTCTTCTTGATGGTGACCACTGAATAAACCAGATCTGCAGCCATGTTTTCTACAAAGAAGTAAAGTGCATACGGAAACACACATCAATCAGACAGCTTCACTATAATGGGCTAAATGACACATGGATCAGATAGAGAGACAGATTATCAATTCATAGATGGATAATAAATTCGAGAGATAGATAGACAAAGTTCAGAGATAGATTTGATAGACAGACGGACAGACAGATAGATAGATAAATAGATAGATAGATAGACAGACACTTTAAAACAGAGATAGATAGGTTATTGATTAGTCAGGGGGATCAAAGGTTACGGGGAGAAGGCAGGAGAATGAGGTGGAGAAACATATCAGCCATGATCGAGTGGCAGAGCTAATTTGATGGGCCGAATGGCTTAATTCTGCTCCTATATCTTATGGTCCTTTGGTCAAATCTGGATTGAAAGATGCACAGATAGATAAAAATACATACAGACAGATATCATTTGGGATCGTTTCTACGACTACTCAAAAGACTGCTGTACAGAAAATGTGCTTCTCTTCATTGTCATTTGCTCAGGGCAAATGTGTATCTGAGGAACTGGACCTTTGTACAAAATCGCTCATTGTAACCAACATCAGTTCGATTTCTCAACACCAGAGTACTGCGCCCTCAGTTTCCAATGTGACTGAAATAAAATAAGCATTGGTGTGTTAGGTAAAACACCCTGATGGAGGTCTAATCACAGGATATTAATAGCAGGAGCTGGCTGGAAAGACACTGGTTGAAGATAAAGGTCGACAGCACAGAAGATGGCCCTTCAGCCCATCAGGTCTGTGCCAGTCAAAAGCAACCACCTCCCTATTCTCTAATCACATTTCCCCAGCACTTGGCTCCATAGCCTTGGCATCGCAAGTGCACCTCTAAATCTTTCTTCAATGTGATGAGGGTTTCTGCCTCTACCACCCTGACAGGCAGTGAGTTCCAAATTCCCCATCACCATCTGGGTGAAAATATTTTCCCTCACATTCCCCTCTAAACCTCCTGCCCCTGACCTTCAAACTATTCCCTCCAACACCCCAGTCATTGATCCCTCCAAGAAGGGGGAAAGGTTTCTTCCTGTCTACCGTATGTCTGCCCCTTATCATTTTATATATCTCAAGCGAGGAGGAGTTAGCATCTTTGAGGGTGAAAGGGATTGAAGTGTCTGGGGGAGAAAGCAGAGAACCAGGGATTGAGTTGGATGGTCAGCCGTGATCCTATCGAATGGGTGGGGCAATGGACAGGCTGAATGGCCTCTTCGTTTCTATCGGAACCAGGGACTGATTTAAGTGGTCAGCCATGATCATAATGATTGGCAGAAGAGGATAGAAGGGCTGAATGGCCTCTTCGTTTCTATTGGAACCAGGGACTGAGTTAAGTCATCAGCCATGATCATAATGATTGGCAGAAGAGGATAGAAGGGCTGAATGGCCTACTCCTGTTTCCTAGCTTCTGTCCTGACCCCTCAGCCTCCACAGCTCCAAGGAAAACCGCCCCATTCTAGCCCATCTGACAGCTCGGACGTTTGTCCAGAATTCCTCCCAGGTTATGGTGCACCGTCACAGTATGGGGCTCTTTAATCACACCGATTCAATGGCACTCACCAGCATTGTGTGCTGCTCCAATTACTGCATACTCCAGATTGCCGGCTGCTGCCCCTTCACCAGAAGCTTGGGATCTATTTCCAGTAGAAACGGGAAGGGAAGGAAGTTGTCATGTCAAACACAATGCTTTCAACACCACGCTCAGCTTCAACAAAACAACAAAGCTATCACGGAAAATACAAAGCCCAGTGAGACCCTGTTATTCCTTGGTCCCACGTCCCTGGTTTCCATCCGAACATGGAGCTTTCTCACCCTCAAGGAGCTGCCCAATTCCCCATCTGGTTTTCACTAATGTCATTTGAGGAAGGGAATCTGCCGTCCTTACCTGGTCTGGCCTGCATGTGATTCCAGAAGCTGGTTAACTATAACTGCCCTCTGGGGCAGTTAGGGATGGGCAATAAATGCTGGCCCTGCCAGTGACACCCACATCCCTGTGAATGAATAAAAGCCACCTGGGACCTTCCAGGCGTAAGGTTTCCTGGTTTGTTAGGCTCATGTTAAAAGGATACGGTAATAAGAACATAAGAACGAGGAGCAGGAGTAGGCCGTCTGGCCCTTCGAGCCTGCTCCGCCATTCAATAAGATCATGGCTGATCCTTTCATGGACTCAGATCCACCTACCCACATTCTCACCGTATCCCTTAATTCCTTTATTGTTAAAAAAAATCTACTTTTTTTTTAAAAGCGTTTACTGAAGTAACGTCAACGACTTCACTGGGCAAGGAATTCCACAGGTTAACAACCCTCTGGGTGAAGAAATTCCTTCTCAGTTCAGTCCCAAATCTGCTCCCTCTAATATTGAGGCTATGCCCTCTTGTCCTAGCTTCACCTGCCAGTGGAAACATCCTCTCTACTTCTATCTTATCCATTCCCTTCAAAATTTCATATGTTTCTATAAGATCCCCCCTCAATCTTCTGAATTCCAATGAATATAATCCCAATCTACTCAGTCTCTCCTCATAAGCCAACACCCTCAACTCCGGAATCAACCTAGTGAACCTCCTTTGCACCCCCTCTAGTGCCAGTACATCCTTTCTCAAGTAAAGAGACCAAAACTGCACACAGTACTCCAGGTGTGGCCTCACCAGCACCTTGTACAGCTACAGCATAACCTCTCTGCTTTTTATTTCAATCCCTTTAGCAATGAAGGACAAAATTCCATTTGCCTTCCTAATTACTTGTTGTACCGCAGACCTACCTTCTGTGATTCATGCACAAGGACACCCAGGTCCTTCTGCATAGCAGCATGCTGCAACTTTTTACCATTCAAGTAATAATCCTTTTTACAATTACTCCTACCAAAATGTATGACTTCACATTTATTTACATTGTATTCCATCTGCCAGACCTTTGCCCACTCACTCAATGTATCTATGTTCCTCTGCAAAGTTTCACAGTCCTCTGCTTCCCTCTTCGTACTCTTTCCCGAAGAGGAATCGGGATAACAATGTAAAATATAAAAGCTGCAGTTTCATCCCCTTGCCTCTTGGGCTGTGACACAGTCGAGGAATTGCCTGCAGGGAGAGAGAGAACATTCTCAGCATATTGCACTGTTACAGACAGGAGCTGCCAAGACCTTTACTCAGTCATAAACACAGAACAAACACATCAATAGATGAGAATTGTCAAACCCATCTTAATGCACATTAACCAGCTGTGAAAGGGATAGGGTGAGGGTTAGGGTTAATGTGTGAGTGAGGGCCAAGGTTAGAATTAGGGCGAGGGTTAGGGTTAGAGATAAAGTTTCGGGTTAGGATTCGGGTTAAGGATTGGTTTAGGGTTCAGGTTAGCCTAAGGGTTAAGGACTGGTTGAGGGTTAGGTTTAGCATTAGGGTTAAGGATTGGTTGAGGGTTAGTGTTGGGTTAAGTTTACGGTTGGGGTGAGGCTTAGTGTTCAGTTTAGGATTAGGTTTAAGTTTAGGGTTAGTGTTCGGGTTTTAGTCAGTATTTGGCTGAGAGCCAAGATTAGAGTTAGTATTAGGGTTGGGTTTAGGACTAGATTTTAGTTTAAGGTTAGATTTGAGTTTAGGCTTAGGGTTAGGATTAGCGGAAGGGACTCGAGGGGGCTGAATGGCCTCTTCCTGCTCCTGGTTCACATGATCTTATGTCCCTCCTCTTCTCTGAGGTGACACGGAGTGGGGCTAGTGATCACATTTACCCGATCCAGGAGGCTAACTTTGTGAGTGCTCTTCCTCCCTACTGTCAGGAACACGGCCTACCCCAGTTCCTGACCCATCACCTCCTTCCCCGGGTCCCCCACCCTCACGCTGTTCAGCTGAAAAGGTTACACTGGGGCGGGGACGGCAGTGCCATGCCCCGGGGAACAACTCATCCCCGTGGGACGTTACAGACCTGTGTCCCTCCTCCGGTGGACGAACCACACCGACGCGATCAGGCCACCGAACAGCAAAACTGGGACGTGCGAGGCCGCGATCTCCGTGGAATAACTCCGAGCTGAAATCCAACAACAATATCCGGCTCACGTTAACAAATTCACCGGGAAGTTTTACCACATCAGCCCTGTGTGAGGTACACGGTTAGCATCAGACTAACTAACCCCTGCAGATACGTAACTCCCTGCCACTATGGAGAGTCACACAGGGTGGAAGAATTTGGCCCATTGAGCTCCCTGCACCGAAACCACTTTCTCGCACCAGCCCCTGATAGCCTTGAATGTTTTGACACTTTGAGTGCTCATCCAAGTACTTGTTAAAGGTTATCAGGTTTCCAGCCTCAACTACCCTCCCAGGCAGTGCAGTCCGGAACACCCACCACCCACTGAGTGAAACAATCCTCAAATCACCCTCTATACCTCCTGCCTTCTACTTTAAAATGAATCTTGCCTTATTATTCACCCTTGCACTCAGATGAACAGCTGCTCGCTACCCCCCGTCCCCCATCGCCGTCCCTGAACCTCAGACTTACACACCTCCGTCAGTTCCCCCTCAGCATTCCCTGCTCCAAAGAAAACAGCCTGATCTTATGGAGCCTCTCTTCATCGCTGAAATGCTCCACCCCAGGGCAACATCCTGGTGAATCGCCTCTGCATGCACCTCTCCATAAGACTTATACTTCCAGATTTTTATTGCGCTCAAATTCTGCCATCGGGTATGAGTGGGATTTGAACTGGGATCTTGGGAACATGACCAAGGTAGTTGGATTAATAACCTCACGATAATACCATCCAGCTGTCACCTTCCCAATTGAGATGGTTAATTTTTTTGACTGGCACAGACTGGATGGAGCGAATGGCCTTTCTCTGTGCTCTGTCTATGTTTGATCTGACTGTCACTGTTACCTCGTAGCGTGAATTCGATATAGTCGCTGGTCACGTTAAAAATGGTGCCGTTGGTTCCGTCGTTGATCGCTGCACGGTGATAGCTCCCGACATTGTCTCTTCGGAATGAATGAATAACCAGCTCACCACCATCGGCAGTCACATGGGAGCTCGCACTGCCGTTTCTTAGCGGCACGTTGTCACGGCACCAAATGAACTGGGGCTCAGTGCCTTCCCTCACCAGGCACCGGAGAACAAGGCGGTCCCCGGGCTGTATCTCAGTCCCGTTGGTGCGGGATATCAGCACAGCATCTGTGACAGGAACTGAGGAGAAAACACACCGAGTTCAAAAACCATGGAGTTCGCTCATCGATTGAGACTATCAGTGGGGACCAGTTTAATGCAAATAATTTAAAAGAGTTAAGCAGTTCGATGGAGTCAAAAGCTAATGCAGACTTTAATTCCATTCCAGTTACCAACACCATTGACAGAGAATCTAACCACTGTCCCTTAATGTTCAATGTTGTTGCCATCACTGAATCCCCCAATATCAACTTCCTGGGGAGTTACCATTGAGAGAGTCATTGAGTCATACGTCGTAGAAAAGGCCCTTCGGCCCATTGAGTCGGCACCGACAATAACTGCCACTAACAAAAGGCACGCGAATCCCATCTCCTGCACGTGTCCCATATCCTTGAATGTTATGTCAAGTGCTCATCCAAGTATATTTTAGAGATCAGAAGCTTTCTGCCCTCCATTACCTTCCCAGGCAGTGCATTCCTGATTTGCAACACCCTGTGAGTGAAAAAGACTTTTTTTCTCAAATCCCCACGGTATCTCCTGCCCCTGAAGTAAAACTATGCCCCCTTGTGATTGACCCCTCAAGAGAGAAACACTTTCACTCTTTTCACCCTGTCCAAACCCCTCATCATCATAAACAGCTCAAATATGTCCCTCCTCAGTCTTCTCTGCTCTAAAGAAAACAATGCAAGCCGATTTTTGCTCAATAACTACAACCCAGGAAGCACCTGGCAAACCTTCTCTGTACCTCCTCTCGTGTTACCACATCCTTCCTGTAATGAGGTGACCAGAAATGCACACAACACTCCAGAAAGTAACCGTCGCTCCTTGATCGTTCAATGGTGTTATCATCACTGAATTCCCCCGCTATCAACATCCTGGAGTTTATCATTGACCAGCAACTAAACTGGATTATAGCCAAATAAAGACTGTGGTACAGGAGCAAGTCAGAGGCTGGCAATCCTGCAGTGAATAATTCACCTCCTACCTTCCTAAACCCTGTCCCCCATCGACAACACACAAGTCAGGAGTGTGATGAAATACTCCCACTTGCCTGGACACTCAAGAAACTTGACACCACCCAGGACAAAGCAGCCTGATTGATTGGCACTAGATCCACAAGCATCCCTCCCTCCATCACTGATGCTCAGTAGCAGCAGTGTGTACCATTTACAAAATGCACTGCAGACATTCAACAAAGATTCTCCAGATAGCACCTTCCAAACTCACATCCACTTCCATATAGAAGGAAAAGGGCAGCAGATACATGGGAACACCACCTCCTGCAAGTTACCCTCTGAACCACACGTGGAAATACGTCAGCCGTTCCTTCAGTGTCGCCTGGTCAAATTCCTGGAATTCCCTCCTTAAGGACACTGTGGGTCTACCTACAACAGATGGACTGCAGTGGTTCAAGAAGACAGCTCACCACCACCTTCTCAATGGGGCATCGAGGGAGAGGGACAATAAATACTGGGCTGAGCCCATGTCCCACAGTGGATAAATAACTCTTAATGTTGTCAGCATGTTTCTCATCATTCACCAAACATTGCATCCTGTTTGTTGTATATAATTTAAGTTCAATTCGTTCTTAGATTCAGGAAGTGAGAAACAACATCAGCCATGGTGAAACTGGATGGCTCTTGAAATCCTGCTGAACAGAGACAAAAGGGTGTCGTTAGGAGAAGGAAATCAGCCATCCTTCCCAAGCCTGGAACTCCATGTGACTCCAATCCAAAAGTGAAGGGAATTATTTCTAATTGCCCTCCAAAAGGGCTAAGCAAATCATTCCCTTCTCAGAAATTTGTTTTTTTTTTTGACAGTATTCTTACTAAACCACAATTCAATAAATAAACACTCAAAAACACCCCACTCACCCTGATAATCATCGACACTTGACCGATCACCTCCTTTTACTCTCTAAACTCCTGGTGTTCTGTCCACAATCAACACTTTGTTCATTAATGTAACAGTCTTTGATATTTTGGTCAGAAGACCAGGAGAGATCGGGACAGGAGTTGGTTCTCCAGTGAAATATCCAAACAAATATTCAAGGGGTGGGAAAGACTTTTGGAAATGACAGGGTGGGAGACAGTGTGGGTGATGTAGCTCTGTATGAGATGGAAAATGTATGGCAGCAATAAGCGTGATCTCGAATCAGATGGTGTAGAATCTATTCTGGGCGGAGTGAAGGCGAAACTGGCTAGAGTTTAGAAGAATGAGGGGAGGCATGGATCCTCATAAAAAACCTTAAAAATTCTAAGCGATGTAGATAGGGTAAACAGAGGAAGGATATTCTTGATGAACAGTATGGGAAGTCCAGAACCAGGGAGTCACAGCCGAAAGGTGACGTGGTAGGATTGAGATGCGGAGAAATGGCTTCACCCAGAGAGTGGGAAGTCTGTGGAATTCTCTGCCACAGAAAGCAGTCAGGGACAGAACATTGAATGTTATTCAGAAAGGAAATGGATAGAGTTCTTAAGAGCTAAAGGGGGAAAGCAGCGAACAAGGGACTGAGTTGGATGATCAGCCACAATCCCAATGATTGGGTGGGGCAGGCTGGAAGGGCCAAATGGCCGACTCCAGTTCCTATTTTCTGTGGTTTTATGTTAACAGGATGTAGAATTGGATAATCTGCCATGGTCATGTTGAATGGTTAAGCAGACTTGAAGCACTGAGTGCTCCTATATTCTCGGAGCCAAACTTTTGACATAGCAAGCTTTAAGAAATAGATTGAACTCCTCGACTTTATTTACCCAGTTCCATTTTGCTTTTCTATGGAGTTTAATTCAGGTAAATGAGAGATGTTACATTTTGGTAAGGCAGACCTGGCCAGGACTTTGACAGTTAATGGTAGTGCCCTGGGGAGTGGTACTGAAGCTAAAGACTTAGGGACTCTGGTATATAGTTCCTTGAAAATGGAGTTGCGGATAGGCAGGGTGTTGAAGACGACGTTCGGCACGCTTGCCTTCATCGGTCAGAGCATTGAGTATAGGAGTTGGGACGTCATATTACGGCTATACAGGACATTGGTGAGGCCATATTTAGAGTACTGTGTACAATTCAGTTTGCCCTGCTACAATTCAACTGCAAAGGGTGCAAAAAGATTTACAAGGATGTTACCAAGACTGGAAGTTTTGAGTTATAACAAGAGGATGGATAGGTTGGGACTTCTCTCTCCTGGGGTATAGGAGGTTGAGGTGTGACCTCATGGAGATTTATACAATCATGAGGGGAAGAGATAAGGTGAATAAAGCCAAGGTCTATTCCTTGGGTAGGGGAGTGTAATACTGGAGGGCATAGGTTTAAGGTCAGAGGGAAAAGGACACAAGGGGAAATGTTTTCACACAGAGGCTGGTTCGTGTATGGAACTATCTGGCAGAGGAAATAGTGGAAATGGGTGCAATGACAACATTTAAAAGACATTTCGACAGGGAGACAGATAGGAAAGGTTTAGAGGTACGTGAACCAAACACAGGCAAATGGGGCTAGTTCAGTTTGAGAAACCTGGTCAAAATGGGCATGTTGGGCCAAAGGGCCTGTTTCCATGCTGAATACCCCTATGACTCCCATATCCAAGGCTGCATCACGTGAGTCAAAAGTGTGGTCTTCAAGGATGAAGTACCAACTTTGAGCTGATCACACCAGCAGTGGTCCCCGAGGCGATGGTTCAGTTACTCTTTGGGAGACTCAACTATCACTGTGATCTCTACTTCTTCACTGTGCAGAGGGCCTGTCACTTCATTTCTCACCGAGCAATGGTACATCCCTTTGTCCCTTCTGCTGATGCCTTCAATGTTGTAAACAAGCTTGGTACTGTTGGAATGTTCCCAGTGCAGTTTCATGCTTGAGCCCTTGTAGAATTAGGAATAAATCGGCAGAGAACCATTGGAGACTGAACAGATTAAGATTCCTGCATCACCTTCGATTAGCTTCTTTCTGGGTTGAATTATTAGTTTTGGTTTTGACACCGGAATTCCTGAAAATATAGACAAATGTTAGGTCCCTTCATTTGGCAGAGTTAATTGTAAAGTTCAACTATGAACCATGTCATAGTCACATCCATTGTCATGTCCTTTTTTTCTGTTCATTCATTAGATGCGCATGTCACTGGGTAGTCCAGCATTTATCACCTGTCCCTAACAGCACAGACAGCAGTTGGAGGTTGTGGGGCAAGTGTCACATAGATTCTCTCTTCAATTGAATTCAAGTTCCACCATCTGCCATGGCGAGATTCGAGCATAGAACATGATCTCAGTCTCCGAATTCAAAGAACGTAGTACAGTACAGCACAAAAACACGCCCTTTGGCCCACCATGTCTGTGGCTGACAAAGATGCCATTCTATACTAATCCCATCTGCCTGCACGTGGTTGCTATCTCTCTATTCCCTACTGCTTCCTGTGTCTGTCTAAATGCCTCTTAAACATTGTACTCGTATGTGCTTCTACCATCTCCCCTGGCAACATGTGTCAGGCACCTATCACTCTTCGTGTAAAAACCTTTCCTCACACATCTCCTCTAAACATTCCCTCTCTCACCTTAAAATTATGTCTCCCACACCTAATAATAGACATTTCCACCCTGGGAGAAAGATTCAGACTATCCACCCTGCCCGTACCTCTCAGAATTTTATGTAGTTCGATCAGATCATCCCTCAGCCTCCGATGCTCCGGCGAAAACAATCCAAGTATGTCCAACCTGTCCTTATAACTAATACTCTCCAATCCAGGCACCATCCTGATAAACCTCTTTTACACCCTCTCCAAAGCCTTCACATCCTTCCTATAACGTGGGGACCAGAACTGCACACAATACTCCAAATGTGGCAGAACTAAAGTCTTATGCAGCTGCAGCATGACTTGCCAGCTTTTATACTCAATGCCCCAACCAATTGAGGCAAACATGCCATAGACCTTATTTACTACCTTATCTCTCGTGTTGCCACTTTCAGGGAGCTATGGAATTGCACCCTAAGATCTCTTTGTATATCAATGTTCCGAAGGGTCCTTCCATTTACTGTATAATTTCATTTAGCTGTTATCCACCCAAAAATACATCACCTCACACTAGTCCATGTTAAACTCCATCTGCCATTTCTCCACCCAAATGTCCAGCTGATCTATATTCTTCCATAATCTTCCTCACTATCCACAACACCACCCATTTTCAAGTCATCTGCAAACTTATTGATCAGACCACTTACATTTGCATCCACAACATTTACAATAGAGATCCCAGCGCTGATCTTTGCCTAACACGAACAGTCTCGTGCTCCCCTGTTCACTTTTTCAGCAATTACTTTGATCTGAAGAAATTAATCTTCTGGAAATATAATGTTTCCTAAAGCAACTTAAGATATCAAATCCAGTTTGGTCCTCATCTAACACAAGATCCAATCGAGGAGTATGGCAGATGTGATGGGCTGAATGGTCTAATTCTGGTCCTCTCTCTTCTGGACATCTCCAAAATTCTTGTTTTAAAAGAAGCAAAAGATCTCAGCTCCCTCATATCTTCTATTTGAGAGGAGGTTCCAAAAATATGCCCTTCCTTGATGATGGAAGAGTCCAGAACATCAGTGTAGAAGATCAGCTTGAAACATTCCCAACAAGGGGCGAATAACATTCACAACACTCAAATGGTGGAAAATGACCATCTCCAATGAGACAGAATCGAAACACTGCCCTGTAATATTCAATTGTATTACCAGCACCGAATCTGCGCATTCTCAACATCCTGGCAGGGGAGGATATGGGGGCATGGGCTACCATCAACAGAGAATCTAATTACTGCCTCTTTACTTTCAATAGCATTACCAGCACTGATTCCCCACCGCACGCCCCGCCCCGCCCCCCCACCGTTAACATCCTAGGGGTTATCATTGACCAGAACCTGAACTGCAGTGAATAACTCACCTCCTCACTCCCCCACAACCTGTCCACCATTGACAAGGCACATATCAGGACGATGTTGGAATATTCCCCACTTGCCTGGGTGGGCGCAGCTCCAACAACACTTCAGAAGCTCAACACCATTCAGGGACAAAGCAGCCCCTGCTTGAATATCCACAAGCATCCACTCCCTCCAGCCCCAATGCTCATTAGCAGCAGTGTGTAATGTCTGCAAGATGCAATACAGAAATTCACCAAAGATCCTCAGACAGCACCTTCCAAACTCATGTCCACTTCCATCTAGAAGGACAAGGGCAGCAGGCACATGGGAACACCATCCCCTGTAACTTCCCCTCTGAGTCCCCCTCACCATCCTGACTTGGAAATATGGATGCAGCCCTTCAGTTTTGATGGGATAACATTCAGAAATTTATTATTTAAGACCACGGTGGGGTTAACTACTGTAAATGGACGGCAGTGGCTCAAGAAGTGAACTCCATCCAAAACCTTCTTAAGGGGACAACTAAGGATAGGCAACAAATGCTATGCTCCGAAACCTTGCAATTTCAAATAAACCTGTTGGACTACAACCAGGTGTCATGTGACTTCTGACCTTGTCCATCCCAGGCTAACACCAGCACCTCCACAAGAAGGAGCTGGATCGAGTTTTTAGGGGCAAATGCAGGGAATCAGGGGACGGAGCTGGATGATCAGCCATGATCCCATTGAACTGATGGAGCAGGCTGGAAGGGCCAAATGGCCTACTACTATATATATTTCCATAATTTTCTGCGGCAGTGAATCTCGCAGACTCCCCACTCTCTGGGTGAAGACATTTCTCCTCATCTCAGTCCTAAATGGTTAACCCATTACCCTGTGCTGTTTGGCTTTCGGTCTCCAATATATGGTTGTGAGGTGCATAAGTGATTATAATTTGTCTCTATTCGGAATCTTTAACAGATAAAAAAAAAAGGATAATAAACGGTACTCACGTCTGATGGACAAATGGAGCTGATTACTGCGTTTCCGCACTTTACTGCCCGTAACTTCGCAATGGTAAGTACCCGAGTCGGCCAGACAAGCTGACTCAGAGATGTAATCGCTGTGTTGGGACGGAGACTGGAGAGGGATCCCATTTCTGTAAAAGCCGTACCGCAAGGAAGCTTCGGAGAGATTCTCCTCAACCGAGCACAACAGTTTAAACCATTGGCCATCAACTAGCTGTCCCTCAGGATGCACGGTCAGCTTAGGGACAGCGAACGCCTCTGGAAAGCAGAAGGACATGTTTCCGTTTCAGCTGTAGAGTGTCTGGGCTTGGGAAGCTCAGTGATCAGAATGAGAGCAAGAAAATCCTGAGACAAGGTCAGCGCGGGAGACTCCCAATCAAGGCTTTTAGCATCATGTCAGTTCAAGCTCAGATTTGGTGATGACCGCGATTGCATTTGGAATGAATATGTACAACCACAGCAAGAGGACTGTGTCCCGTTCTGGAATCCACATTATCAGAGGGACGGGATAGCAGTGGGAGAGGGTACAGAGGGAGATTTACCAGGAGGCTGCCTTGGGGGCTGGAGAGTTTCAGTGATGAAGAGAAGTTAAACAGACTATGTTGTCTTCCTTAGAGCAGAGGAGATTGAGAGAGGGGGACATGATTGAGATGTACAAAATAATGAGGGGCACAGATAGGGTAGATAGGAGAAACTTTTCCCCTTTGGTGGAGGGATCAATGACCCAGGCGGTGGATGTATAGATGAAAGATGAGGAGCAGGAGGTTTAGACGGGATGTGAGGAAAAACATTTTCACTCACAGAATCTGGAACTCACCGCCTGTAAGGGTGGGAGAGGCAGAAACCCTGATCGCACTGAAGAAGGATTTAGATGTGCCCTCGTGATGCCAAGGCTACAGGACCAAGTGCTGGGGAAATGGGGATTAGGGAATAGTGAGGTGGTTGTTTCTGACTCAATGGGTTGAAAGGCCTTTAATTTGTGCTGGGGACTGTGTAATAATGAGAGATAGTTACGTTTAACAGAAAGGTGAACATTGTCACTCCTCTTCCTCAGACCATAAGTTGTCTCGATCGCTTCGCAGGCGTAATTCCCAGAAACGTTTAGAGCCGCTGCGTTGATGATGCACACACCGCCATCATCCGGCGCCGACTCCAGGGCGCTGCCATCTCTGAAAAATGTGTAGCGAAGCCGGATGGAGGGCCGCGCTGTCTGAGCAATGCACATCAACGTGACCTGGAGCCGCTCAAATACTTCAGCCGCCGGCTCCACCCTCAGTACGGGCTCGGCAAAGCGTTCTGGAATGTAACACACAGTCGGGGCTCATCAATCAACTGTTATAATCACAGAGCGAAAGACACAACGGTAATAAGGGGCAAAGAAGGTGAGCATTTAGTGACAAATGTCAGGGGAGAATGCAAAACTTTATCCTTCTCTTGCTTTCCAAATTTGAAATTCTGTCTCAATGCCATACAGTAAAAAAATCATAGAAACAGGACCTTCTGCCCAACTCGTCCATGCCAACCCGGTTTACTAAGCTGATCTTCCATTTACGACCATTTGGCCCATCAACCTCCAAAACTTTCCAATTCAAATATCTGATATTCACACAGAGGTAGAGAAAAAACATAGGACAAAGTTATATAGAGACATGAGGAGGATAAACATTTGCCTTGCTCCCATCCCAGGATTCCCGAAAACAAAAAGGGGTTTGAGCTATTGGGAGAGGCTGCATCAGCTGAAGCATTGGAGGCAGATGGGTGACCATTGAGGTGTATAAAATCATGAGGGGCATAGATAAGGTAAATAATCAAATTCCCGGTTTAGGGCAATCCAAACCTAGTGGTTTAAGGTGACAGGGGAAAGATTTAAAAGGGACCTGAGGGGTAACTTTCTCACACAGCGGGTGGTGCATGCATGGAACAAACTGCCAGAGGAAGTGGTGGAGGCGAGTACAATTACAACATTTAAAAGACATTTGGATGGATAAATGATTGGAAACGTTTAGAGCGATATGGACCAAACACAGGCAAATGAGACGAGTTCACTTTGGGAAACCTGGTAAGCATGGGTGAGTTAGGACAAAGGGCATGTTTCAGTGCTGTGTGATTGTATGACTCTATTTAGTGATGATGTATCACAACCATTGACATGGGTCACATCTACAGATTGCAACTTTCTCAGATTTCAGAGAGACTAAGGCTTGTCTAATGAGGGGAGATTGAGCAGTTTGGTCAGAGTTTAGAAGGATGAGAGAAGATTCCATTGTTGTGTGTTGGCTAGCTCAGTTGGTTGGTTAGCTGGTCTGTGATCCACAATGATTCCAACAGTGTGGGGTTCAATTCCCACACTGCCTGGAGTGACCACGATGGAATCTCCTTCTCAACCTCTCTCCTTGCCTGAGGTGTGGTTAACCTCATGTTAAACCACCTCCCACTCCCCTCTCTTACTAATGAGACAGTGGGACCTTGGTGACCCTACTACCTTTCCCATTGCTCATAAACCATTAAAGGCAGGAGAGGTTAACAGGGCCAGTAAGAAGGCATATGGGACATTTGCCTTTGTCAGTCAAGGCATAGATTATAAAAGTGGGGAGGTGATGTTGGAGCTGAATAGGACTTTGGTGAGGCCACAGCTGGAGCACTGTGTGGCAGTCCGGATCACCGCAGAAAGGATGTGATTGCACTGGAAGGGCTGCAGAGGAGATTCCCCAGTATGTTGCCTGGGATGGAGCATTTCGGCGATGAAGAGAGGCTGGGCAAGCTTGGGTTGTTTTCTTTGGAGAAGAGAAGGCTGAAGGGGGACCTGATCGGGGTGCATAAGATGATGAGGGGCATAAACAGAGGGGATAAGAAGCAGGTTTTCCCCTTATTCAAAGGGTTAATAACAAAGCAGGACATCCTTTTGAAGAGAAAGGCAGGAGATTTAGAGGGAAATTTGAGGTTTGTTTTACCCAGAGGGTGGTGGGAATGTGGAATGCACTGCCTGGGAGGGTAGTTGAGGTGGGAAACTCCCAAATACTTAAACGATACTTGGATGAGCACTTCAAGTGTCATAATATTCAAGGCTGTGGAGGTCTTGTGCTGGGGAGAAAAGAACTAGTGTCACTTTAGCAGTACAGACATGATGGGCTAAAGGGATTCTGCTGTACTATGTGATTTAGAATATCTCCAGTGTTTAAGTAAAAAATCAAGACAAATATGCACATTGTCTACACAGATTGGAACATTAGGTACGTACCTTGAACTTGAACGTGAACATATTGAGGTTCTGACCGATCAATTTTGCAACTGTACGATCCACTGTCATTGGTGCTGTTTACTTTAATGTGATATGAAGATTTAGCTGTTCTGGACTGCATTGAATGGATCTTCTTGCCATTTCTATAAAAGGTAAAGTCCTTCTTTGTCCACCAATAATAGTATTGCCCTGACAATTCAGTTCCAGTGTCTCTCCTTCCAAAGGTGAAACTGGGATAACATAGAAAGCCACATGTCCAGCTAAGATTGAAAGCAAAGACACATCATTATAGCTTTCATTACACTGGGAAGTGCTCCTACAACATTCGTTATCACATTGTTTCCAAAATGGATTTTCAAGCATCAGTCCCGGCTACCTATCCCCAATATTTTATACAATCCAGTCCAGACAACTGCTGTCAATTTGTTTGCAACTTAGCTGGAGTGTTGAATATAGATTTGCTCTCCTGACCTGAGGAGGATCCATAAAACGGGGCATCACAGTGGGTCAGTGGTTAGCACTGCTGCTGCATAGCGCCAGCGACCTGGGTTCGATTCCACCATTGGGTGACTGCGTGGAGATTGCACATTCTCCCTTTGTGTGACAGTTTCCTTTGGGTGCTCCAGTTTCCTCCCACAGTCCAAAGATGTGAAGGTTAGGTAGATTGGCCATGGTAAATTGCCCATCGTGTGTCCAGGGATGTACAGGCTAAGGTGGACTGGCCATGGGGAATACAGGGTTTTCGAGATGGGATGGGATGGGTCTCGGTGGATGATCTTCAGAGGGTCAGTGTGGACTTGATGGACTGAAAGACCTGCTTCCACAATCATTTTATCATTCTAAGACCACAAGAAACAGGAATGAGAGGATGCCATTTGACCATTGAGTCCCCTCCACCTTTCAATGACATAAGACCTCAAGATTATAAGATGTTGGATCAGAATTAGGTCATGAGAGCTTATCGCATTGAAAGGTGGAGGGGAATCAAAGGCCAAATGGCATAATACTGTTCCTATTTCTTATGGTCTTATGACTTCTCCTCAGGTCAGGGGACCAAAACTGTATTGAAGGTCCATAAGATGTAGGATCAGAATGAGGTCATTCAGCCTATCAATTCTGCAAACGATGTAAGCTTAAGGTAAAAGGAGGAAAAGTTTAAAGGAGATGTGAGAGGCAAGTTCTTTTTACACAAAGGTTGGTAAGTGCCTGGAGTGCACTGCCAGAGGAGATGGTGGAGGTGGATACAACAGCAGCGTTTAAGAGGCATCTTCACAGATACATGACCAGGCAAGGAATAGAAGGATATGGACAGCTTAGTGGCAAAAGGGTTTCAGCGTAGAAAGGCATCATGTGTTGGCACAGTCTTTTTGGGCTGAAGGGTCTGTTCCTGTGCTGTCCTGTTCTTCGTTCCTTGAAAACTATGCACTCCACTTCCACATAGCTTTCTATGTAAATGAGAGTCAAAGTTCACTTACCAGTGATGATATCTTCAACAATTTCACTTTTGGCCATGGGTTATATACCATATAATGATAATATCCACCAGCTTCACTGATCACAAGTATTTCATGAACAATAAAACATGTGTAAGTGAAATACTTTCCATTTTTGTCCCAAGAAACAATTCCTCCTTTGTCAGTCCCACATTACAATTTTAAAGTCTCTCCTTCTTTTCCGAACTCACTTCAAGATGGTGACAGAGCAGATCATTTCATCCAGAGCCCATCCGCTCTGTCCATTTCATTCTCTTTTTTCATTTTTCCCTTTTCTCTCTTTGTGTTTCTTTTCTATTTTCTTCTTCCGGCCTCAGCGCAGACACAGCGAGGCTTCCTCTCAGCCCAGCGTGGTGGCTTCCCGGCCCAGGATGGGAGGCATTCAGCAGCCTGTAGCAATCTCTCAAACCCAACGTCCAAGGTAGCTGGTGGAGACAGCAGGGCCCAATGCCTACCCAGTGATCAGAACTGCAAGCAGCTTCTGCCTAGACATGTTCCAGGGGCAGCAGGAGATCAGAGGCAGCAGCAGCAGCTGCAATGGTATCACAGCTCAATCTGGGAAGAAAAAGCAGTGAGGAGGGTTCCTGGGCATTTGCAGTGATCACAGGTGCTTATGTTTTAAGATAGCTATGAACAAGGATAAATCAGGACCTTGAAGGAAGTTAATAAATTGGGAGACGGCAAATTATACCAGTATTAGGCAGGAGCTAGGGAGTGTTAATTGGAAGGAGCTGTTATCAGGCAAGTCCACATTTGATATGTAGATATGTTTAAAGATCTTCTGGGGAGAGCTGAAGAATGGCAGTAAGGAGGAAGGATAATGATGGCAAGGCAAGGGACACTTGGATAATGAGAGAGGTTTGTGAATTTAGTGAAAAGGGAAAAAAAAAGAAGCATATGTAAGGTTTAGGAAGCTAAAATTTTACAGTGTCTGTGAGGAATATAAGGAAAGCAGGAAAGTACTCAAGCAGGGAATTAGGGGAGCAAGAAGGGGCCATGAAATGACCTTGGCAAGTAGGGTTAAAGAGAATCCCAAGGCATTGTGCAGATACATTAAAACTAAGTGGGTAACGAGGGAGAAGGTAAGACCACTCAAAAGCTGAAGGAGGGAACTTGTGCTTGGAGACAGAGAATGTGGGTGAGATGAGTACCTTGTATAGGTATTCACCCAGAAAAATGTCTTGGAGGATAATGAGTTTTGTGTGGAGCATGCTAATATGCTGGGGCATTTTGAGATGAAGAAACAAGTTCGATCGCTTGAAGAACATTAGGTGGATAAGTCCCCAGGGCCTGATGGTATCTACCCCAGGTTTTTGAGAGAAGCAAGAAAGGAGATTACTCGGGGATTGACAAAGATCTTTGCATCCTTGCGAGCCAGTGGAGACAGCCTGGAGGACTGGCGAGTAGCTAAAGTTATTCCTTTGTTCAAGAAGCGAAATAAGGTTAATGCAGGAAACGACAGACCACTGAGTCTCACATCAGAGGCTGGGAAGCTATTGGAGAGAATTCTTAGGGATAGGATTGACACACATTTGGAAGAGCATGGCCTAATTAGGGACAATTAGCGTGGCTTTGTGCAGGAGAAGTCATGTCCTACTAACTTGATTGACTTTTTGGAGGAGGTGATGAAGGTGATCGATGAGGGTCGAGCAGTAAATGTTGTTTACATGGACTTTATTAAGGCTTTCAACAAGGTCTTTCATGGCAGGCTCACCCAGAAGATTAAGATGCATGGGATCTATGGTGACTTGGCTGTGTGGATTCAGAATTGGCTTGCAAAGAATACAGAGGGTATTTGTCAAAGGGTATTTTGTGGACTGAAGTGGCCGTGGGTATGGAAGGCGCTGTCTGAAGATCTTTGGTGAATTTCTGCAGTGCAGTTTGGAAATGGTACATACTGCTGTTTGAGATATATGTAAATGACTTAAATAAAAATTTGGATGGGTGGATTGGTAAGTTTGCAGATGTTACAAAGATCATTGGAGTTGTGGATAGTGTGAAATGTTGTCAAAGGATACAGCATGATATAGATCAGTTGCAGATACGGGCGGAGAAATGGCAGGTGGAGTTTAATCCAGGCAAGTGTGAGGTGCTGCACCGTAGGAGATCAAATGTTAAGGAAAAGTACACAGTTAATGGCTGGACACTGAACAGCACTGATGTACAGAAGGATCTTGGGGTTTAAGTCCTTAGCGGCTGACAGTGATACATCAGACTGGTGCATTGCCTCCCTGGTGTCAGGGTCAAGGATGTCTTGGAGAGGGTGCAGAATATTGTCAAAGGGAAGAGGGACGAGCAGGAGGTCATTGTACGCATTGGAATTAATGTCATAGGAAGAGAAAGGGATGAAATTCTGAGGAGAGAATATGGGAAGTTAGGTCGGAATTTTAAAAGGAGGTCCTCGAGGGTAGTAATATCTGGATTACTCCCAATGCCACAAGCTAGTGAGGGTTGGAATTGAAGGATAGATGGGATCAAATGTGTGGCTGAGGAGCTGGTGCAGGGGAGAAGGATTCACATTTTTGGAATCTCTTCTGGGGTAGAAGTGACCTATATAAGAATCACAGATTGCACCTGAATTGGTAAGGGACTAATATACTGATGGGGAGGTTTGCTCGAGATGCTCAGGAGGATTTAAACTGGAAGTGGTGTGGGCGTGACCCAGGGAGATAGTGACAAAAGAGATCTGTCTGAAAAAGAAGCAAGTCAAACAGTCAGGGCATGCAGGAATAAAACAGAGAACAAGGTAAGACTGATAAATTAAACTGCATTTATTGCAATGCAAGAGGCCTAACAGGTAAGGCAGATGAACTGAGGGCATCGTTGGGAACATGGTACAGGTATAGCATCGCAATTACAGAGATGTGGCTCGGGAATGGCTAGGACTGGCAGCTTAATGTTCCAGGGTATAGATGCTACAGGCAGAGTAGAATAGGGAGCAAGAGAGGAGGGGGAGTAGTGTTTTTGACAAGGGATAACATTACGGCTGTATGTCGGGGGGATATATTTGGGAATATGTCCAGGGAAGTTATTTGGGTGGAACTGAGAAATAAGAAAGGGATGATCACCTTATTGGGTTTGGACTATAGACCCCCTAATAGTCAGTGGGAGATTGAGAAACAATCTTGTAAGGAGATCTCAGTTATCTGTAAGAATAAGAGGGTGGTTCTGGTGGGGGTTTTTGCAAACATAGACTGCGACTGCCATAGAATGAAGGGCTCAGATGGAGAAGCATTTGCTTAGAGTGTACAAGAAAATTTCTGATTCAGTATGTGGATGCACCCACTGGAGAGGGTGCAAAACTTGACCTACTCTTGGGAAATAAGGCAGGGTGGGTGACTGAGGTGTCAGCGGGGGAGCACTTTGTGGCCAGTGACCATAATTCTATTAGTTTCAAAATGGCAATGGAAAAGGATAGACCAGATCTAAAAGTTAAAGTTCTAAATTGGAGGAAGGCCAATTTTGAAGGTATTATTCGAGAACTTTCAAAATCTGACTGGGGTAAATGTTCACGGGGAAAGGGATGACTGGAAAATGGGAAGCATTCAAAAATGAGATAATGAGAGTCCAGAGCAGAATGTTCCTGTTAGGGTGAAGAGCAAGGCTGGTAGGTGCAGGGAATGCTGGATGACTAGAGAAATTGAGGCTCTGCTCATGAAAAAGAAGGAGACATATGGCAGCTATAGACAGCTGAGATCGAGTGAATCCCAAGGAGTATAAAGGTAGTAGGAGTATACTTAAGAGGGAAATCAGGAGGGCAAAAAGGAGACATGAGATGGCTTTGACAAACAGGATTAAGGAGAATCCAACGGGATTCTACAAGCACATTAAGGACAAAGGGTTAACTAGGGAGAGAATAGGGCCCCTGAAAGATCAGCAAGGCCACCTACGTGTGGAACCACAGGAGACGGGGGAAGTATTAAATGAGTATTTTGCATCAGTGTTTACTGTGGAGAAGGATATGGAAAATACAGAACATAGGGAAATAAATAATTTCATATTGAAAAATGTCCATATTACAGAAGAGATGTTGCTGGATGTCTTAAAATGCATACAGGTGGATAAAACTCAGGACCAGATCAGGTGTACCCTCGAACTCTGTGGGAAGCTGGGGAAGTGATTGCTGGGCCCCTTCCTGAGATATTTGTATCATCAATATCCACAGATGAGGTGTCGGAAGACTGGAGGTTGGCTAATGTGGTGCCTCTATTTACAAAAGCTTGTAAGGATAAGACAGGGCAATATAGACTGGTGAGCGTGACATCAACGCTGGGCAAGTTGTTGGAGGGAATCCTAAGGGATAGGATTTCCATGTATTTGAAAAGGCAAGGACTGATTAGAGATAGTCAACATGGCTTTGTGCAGAGGAAATCGTGTCTCACCAACCTGACTGAGTTTTGAAGAAGTAAGAAAGAGGATTGATGAGGGCAAAGTGGTGTATGTGATCTATATGGACTTCAGTAATGCGGTTGACAAGGTTCCTTATGGTAGACTGGTTAACAAGGTGAAATCACATGGAATACAGGGAGAACTAGTTATTTGGAATAAGAACTGGCTCGAAGGTAGAAGACAGATGGTGGTGGTGGAGGGTTGCTTTTCAGATTGGAGGCCTGTGGCCAGCTGTGTCTGACAAGTATCGGTGCCTAGGTCCACTACTTTTTTTCATTTATATAAATGATTTGAATGTGAACGTAGGAGGAATGGTTAGGAAGTTTGCAGATGACACCAAAATTGGAGGTGTAGTGGACAGCGAAGGAGGTTGCCTCAGAGTACAACTGGATCTTGATCAGATGGGCCAATAGGCCAAAAAGGAGTGGCAGATGGAGTTTAATTTAGATAAATATGATGTGCTGCATTTTGGAAAGGCAAATCAGGGCAGGACTTATACACTTTATGGTAAGGTCCTAGGAACTGTTGCTGAACAAAGAGACCTTGGAGTGCAGGTTCATAGTTCCTTGAAAGTGGAGTTTCAGATAGATAGGAAAGTGAAGAAGGCATTTGATATGCTTGCCTTTATTCATCAGTACATTGTTTATAAGAGTTGGAAGATCATGTTACGACTGTACAGGTCATTGGTTAGGCCACTGTTAGAATACTGCATGCAATTCTAGTCTCCCTGCCATAGGAAGGATGTTGTGAAACTTGAAAGGGTTCAGAAAAGATCTACAAGGATGTTGCCAGGGTTGGAGGTTTTGAGCTACGGTGAGAGGCTGAATAGACTGGGGCTATTTTTCCTGGAGTGTTGGAGGCTGAGGGGGTGACCTTATAGAGGTTTATAAAATCATGAGGGGCTTCGATAAGATAATAAACAAGATTTTTTTCCCTGGGATGGGGAAGTCCAAAATGATATGGCATAGGTTTAAAGTGAGAGGGGCATTATTTGAGGGGTCGTAAGGGGCATTTTTTTTTTATTACACAGAGGGTGGTGTGTGTTTGGCATGAGCTGCCAGAGGAAGTAGTGGAGGTTGGTACAACTATAGCATTATAAAGACATGTGGATGTGTTCATGAATTAGAAGGGTTTTGGAGGGATATGGGCCAAATGCTGGCAAATAGGACCAGATTCATTTAGGAAAAATGGTCAGCATGGCCAAGGTTGAGTGAAGGGTCTGTTCCTGTGCTGTATATCTCTATGGCTCTATCTTAGTTTTCAATTGGTGCCCCATTATTCTCGGACTGTGCCCTCTGCTCCTCGACTCTCCCATGAGAGGGAAACATCCTCCTGGCATTGACACTGCCAAGCCCCTATAGGTTTCAATGATACCACCTCTCATTCTTCTATACTCCAATGAGTAGAGTCCCAACATGTTTAGCCTTTTCTCCTGAGACCATCCTTCCATACGAAGGATCAGCTCAACTGAATCCTCTCTGAATTGCCTCCGATGAAATAATATCATTCCTTAAGGGGAGCAAAACTATTGACAGGCTCCAGTTAAAATCTCACCAGCACCTGTACAGTTGCAATCAGACTTCCCTACTCTTATATTCCAGCCCCCTTGAAATAACAGCCAACATTCCATTAGCCCTTCTTGATTACATGCTTCCCCCGTGTGCGAGCTTTCTCTGTTTCATGCACAATTACCTTCCCCTGTGACCAGTCCCTTTGCATTGCAGCTTTCTGCAGTTTCTCTCCATTTAAACGATACATTATTCTTCTGTTCTACCTTCCAAAATAATCTCAACTTCGTTTTTTTCCCCCAAACAACCTGTCATAATTCTCACAGTCATTTGAAGTATTGTGGTGGAGTTAAACTTTGGTGCAGATCTACCGAATGTACTCTGTCCAATGTGACTAAGTCAATGAAAATGGTCATTGGTCCTCATTGGAACTGGTGGTGTATCCACACAGGAGAAGAGTTGAAAATGATTCCAGTGCCTGATCTTTGAGAGAATATCTCTAACTCTGGACCTGAAAGACTGGGATCAAGTCCCATTTGATGCATGTTTTGGAAAAGATCACTTAAAAGATTGCACAGCAAGACTTCAAGTTTCCAAACGGTTATCCAAGAAATCTGCAGTTCCCTCCTACCTTGGGTGTTCCCACAGAGAGCGAGATTCACTGGAAAACAGAAGGGAATTGAAATGCAAATGTCATTATTTGTGTCACTGTCCTGGATATGGCAAAGTAAAGACAATGTCAAAGCAATGAGTGTGGAGAAGCAGCAGAGAAATAGCATATGCCCTGTCCATAACTCAGTGGGAACTGTTGACTGTTCAGTCTCATTGAAATGGAGGCAGAAATATCAATTGACATGAAGTGCATGGTGGCCCCATTGGTTTCTCGCCCTTGTCTCATTCCTCCTTCAACTTGTGCTTTGTACCTTTCTGTATTTTATTTGTCCTTGCATTTTCCCCTCCTATTTTCTCTCTGTTTAGGTTCCCATTCACCATGCCATTCTTCGTAAACAAGCAAAGGACTCCATATATCTAGATTTTTAAACAATAAAGTACATTTGGGAAGATTATTGAAAAAGAAATCAAGTTCACAACATTTCGCATTCCTTGCCTCGGCGAGATTCTTAGAAACACCCAAAGTCAACCAAGACTCGCTAATGACCTCCACACTGAGGCTTCCAGCTCAGAGACAAGAAGCTACAATTACAATTGGGCTCATCTCAGAATAGTTTTGAGATGCTTACGCTCTTCTCGCTGCATCTAAAATCACTTCACAAGAGAGCTAGTATCATCTTAAATCTCATTTCAGAGCCAGAGAGTTCTACAACACTGAAAAAGGCCCATCAGCCCATTGAGTCCGTACTAGTCAAAAACAACTACCTCATTATTCTCTAATTCCATTTTCTCAGCACTTGGCCCATAGCCTTGGCATCACAACACTTCTTCAATGTAATTAGGGTTTCTGCCTCTCCCAATCTTACAGGCAGCGAGTTCCAGATTCCTCACCACCCTCTCAGTCAAAAAGATTTTAATCACATCCCCTCTAAATCTCCTGCCCCTTAACTTCAATCCAAGCCCCGGTCCTGGTCATTGATCCCTCCATCGTTGGGGAGAAGTTACTTCTGTCTACTCTGTCAATGCCCCCTTTCATTTTATATATGTCAAACATGGCACCCTTTCTCAATCTCCTCTGCTCTAAGGAAAACAACCCTAGTCTTTCCAATCGCTCTCCATCACTGAAACTCTCCAGCCCAAGGCAACATCCTGGTAAATCTCAAAATTGCTGGAAAAGCTCAGCAGATCTGGCAGCATCTGTGAAGGAGAAAACAGAGTTAACGTTTCCGGTAACCCGAAATGTTAATTCTGTTTTCTCCTTCACAGATGCCGCCAGACCTGCTGAGCTTTTCCAGCAACTTTGTTTTTGTTCCTGATTTACAGCATCTGCAGTTCTTTTGGTTTTTATTCCGGTAAATCTCCTCATACTGATGAAAAGTGATGGTATTTCCACTCACTGCTCAATGAGATATCTCGCCTGTTGGAGATTGCTCTTCCCTTTGCAGATAATGAAATTCTACTAATCCATCCACGAATTAACATCTTCAGATCTTAGTGCACACGTGTGCATAACTTGCATCTTTTTGCAAGAAGATTGAATAATATTGCATAAAGTGGAATCAAAGGACAGTAACCTGAAATGCTCATTCTTTTCTCTCTCTCTCTGTCTCTCTCAAAAAATGCTATCATACAGGCTCCCAACTCTTTTCAGTCCAGATTTCTGCCGAGTTTGGTTTCTACTTTAGCCAGAGTAATTTTTCCACGCTTTCTAGCAACTGAGAAGGAAGTATTGGGGGTTATCTACTGCAGAATTTAACCTCATGTGACCAGGGAACAGCGCTGGTTTATCAGGATCAAGGTTCCCCTGTAACACACACTTACAGAGGATCAGAGGCACAGAGATCTGCAACATTTCTGACGTGGTTTTGTAGCACAGCAGTCCAATTCAGTGTGACCTGGTGCCTGCTACATTGATGCCTTCTGTCTCTCTCGCATTAACCTGTAACAGAAGACAATAAGTTTAGAAACAGCAAAAGGAGGCTGCTCTCTCCATACTTTCTGAGCACTTCCAAGTATTTAGTTCCACACACAGGTACAGGAGTAGGCCATTCAGCCCGTCCAACCTGTTCCATCATTCAATGGCTGATCAATGGCCTCGCTCCATATATCTGCCTTTGGCCCCTATCCCCTTCATATCGTTGCTGAACAAATATTGATCCCTCTCAAATTGAAAACTAACAACTGATCCAGCATCCACTGCCATTTGTAGGAGAGAGTTCCACACCTCTCCCACCCTTTGTGTATAGAAGTGCTTCCTAATCTCTCTCCTGAGCAGTCTGGCCTTAATTCTCAGACTATGTCCTCTCCATTTCTAGAATCCCTGAACAGTGGAAATACTTTATCTTTATCCACCTTGTCTTTTCCTGTCAATATGTTAGATCAGATCACCCTTCACCTTCTAAATTTTGAAGACAACATGCCTCGTTTGTGTAAACTCTGCTCATAATTTACACCCTGCAGTCCAGGTATTATTCTTGTAAACCTATATTGTATTCCCTCCAAAGCCAATCTATCCATCCTAAAGTGTGGTGCCCAGATCTGCTCCAAGTGGGGTCTAAACAGGGTTTTGTATAACTACACATTATTTCTGCGTCCTTGTACTCCAGTTCTCTAGAAATGAAGGCAAGCTGTTTTGAACATTAGTCAGTCCCCATTTGGAATATTGTGGACAGTTCTGGTAGCCACAATACCAGGAGGATGTGGAGATTTTGGAGAGGATACAGAAACGATTTACCAGGATGGTACCTGGTTCAGAGGGCATTAAAATGAGGAGATACTGGTCAAACTCAGTTTGTTTTCACTTGAAAGTTGGAGGATGAGGGTCAACCTAATAAAAGTTTACAAAATAATGACAGGCACCGAAGGCATGGCTAGTCG